GGCTGCGGAAGAGCTGTCCTGCAGAGTGATTGGTGTCCAGCGAAGACATCACCTCCCAGCTCTTACAGTTGCTTTCTTTTCCTTAGGATCTTAAAACTCACGTGTGGTCATTCATAACCTTAACACCACCTCTGCAGATAACCAGACCGCAGCACACGATTGAAACCCCTCCGGTAATAATAGCCAGTATAGCTAATTCCGAGACACAACCCCCAGATAGACTTTTAACGATGAACAGCGTGGCCAGAAGCCTTTTGCAGTCAGCTCGGCGCGGCGGAGCGGCGTGGCTGAGAAGCGGCTCTGCCCGCTCCGGAGAACGGCACCTTCGGAAGCTGGTGCTGGGCATCGAGACGAGCTGCGATGACACCGGCGCGGCCGTGGTGGACGATGCCGGCACCGTCCTGGGAGAAGCCCTGCACTGTCAGAAGGAAGTGCATTTACAGTAAGAGTATCCGTGTAGCTACTTCTCTTGGGGCTTTCACCTTAAAAATTGTTATTGTTTATTGTTGTTCTTGTAATAGCCACATAAAAGTCTTCTCCAGGAAACTCAATAAGAGGTTAGGTGTAAAGACCTATCCCTCAGGCCACAACACACTCTGCTTGAGATATTACTAAGGGTGAGGAGACTAATGCTCTGCATTGAACAGGTTTCCTCCAGTATTTTCTTTTAAAAAGAGACAGATTACTTACTTAGCTTGAATTAAAGATGAAATCGTTATTACTGTTAAAACCACCAAATGTCTTAATTTGGTTTTAAGGGAAAGAAGAATTTTTAAGATATCAAAGGTAGGTGTTGGTGGTTAGTTCAGTCATGTGAACTGATCAGTGAGGGCTTGTGAATATGAAGTTACAGACATCGTTTTGGAACAGCGTTGAGATGCAGTGCAGAGGTGTGTGTACCAAAAAAGGGCACTGGCCTCCTAGTGACACTCTGGCTCTCTGCAGTGCGTTTACACTACACAAGGCATTTGAGAATGGACTAAGGCAACGGGCAGGATATGGCCAGGTTAAGAGGTGTCCATGCCTTTCTGGCAGTTATGAAATACAAACGTAGTGCAATGCTTTGTTTTCACTAGAGCAGGGGGAATAATTCCCGTGGTGGCACAGCAGCTTCACAGAGAAAACATTGAGCAAGTGGTGAAAGAGGCGCTTGGTGCCAGTGGAGTCTCTGTGGGTGACCTGGCAGCTATTGCAACGACGGTGAAACCGGGCCTGGCGCTGAGCCTGGAGGTGGGGCTGCAGTACAGCCTGAACTTGGTGAGCACCCACCAGAAGCCCTTCATACCCATCCACCACATGGAGGCCCACGCGCTGACCGTCAGACTCACCCATCACGTGGAATTTCCCTTCTTGGTTCTTCTACTTTCTGGAGGCCACTGCATCTTGGCAGTAGCACAGGGAGTTTCAGATTTCCTTCTGCTTGGACAGTCCATAGATATGGCACCTGGTGACATGCTGGATAAGGTAACATTGCCTTACAGACGTGAATCTAGTCTTGCCTTCTTTTTATTGCAGTTAGAGGACAGTCATACGATGTGATATGACCTTTACTTAACCTTTTTTCTTCTATTTTGAAATACCATAGATATAAGACACAAGAGGCTGTTAATCTATGCATAGAATCAGTTGCAACATATGTTCGTTATATTTTTAGCAAATAGACAACATAAGCAAAACTGTTATTGGAAGTTTCATTGACACCTATTACACAAATGAGTTGTATGAGTTGGAGAAGTTTGACAATAATATTTTTAAAGATGCTGTCAGGTTTAAAACTATGCATATTAAACCATCTCTCACACCCTTTTTTTCTATGGTTGAAAAAATCTTTTTCTGAGATTCTGAGTCACTGAGTACAGTCTGTAAAATCAGTCACAGTTTTGTTCTCAAACACAGAGTTTTTAAACAGTATTTGTGTGTATTAAAGTGAGGGAGTGAGTGGAGTCAGAAAGGGGATTGTTAAAAGTTGAAACCAGCTTTGTTCCTGTTTATCTGGTAATATATTATGGCAGTCTGTGTGTTTCCTATAGCATAAAAATTGGGTAATGAATGTTTTCTGCAAAATTTTGTTGATCCTCATATGTTTATCCAAATAGTTCTAGAACTGCATTTCTAATTACTCCAGAAAAAAACCCCAGCTGGTGTGTGTCTCATCCTTATTGCACCCTGATCATAATTTCACGTTGAATTGGATTTGGTGGCATCTAATTTTACTCCGTGGATTATGAGACAGTGATGCAGTTACTGGAGAAATTAATCTAGCTCTCTACTCTGAGTCTGTTGCTTATTATCTCTTTAGGTAGCAAGAAGACTCTCTTTAAGAAAGCACCCGGAGTGCCACAGCATGGCTGGGGGGAAGGCGATAGAGCACTTGGCTCAGACTGGGAACCGGCAAACACTCGTGTTCAGAGTCCCCATGCAACGGTACCGCAACTGTGACTTCTCTTTTTCTGGCCTTCAGCACCTTGTCAATAAAGCCATTGCACAAAAAGAAAAAGAAGAAGGTATTCTGAAGCAAAGTAAAACAATAAACCGTGTTTTTGATGGCCTGTACTCAGGAAACGCCATTTGATCGTACGTTTTTGTAGGTATTCAGGAAGGTGAGATCCTGTCCTGTGTTAAGGATATTGCTGCTGCTGTGCAGCATGCAGTGGCACTTCATATTCTCCAGAGGACATACCGAGCCATGCTGTTCTGCATGAAAAATGGCATATTATCATCCCAAAATGCGACTTTGGTGGGTATGATTTTTTTATATGTATTTTTTGAAGATGCAGATGCCTCGTACTTTCTCCCCTGACAGGTGAGGAAGATGTCAGTATCTATTAGATTGTTAAAATACTCACGTTGAAGTATTTATAATAAAATGTTTCATAGATTTAAGCTAGAAAGAGATTTTCTTACCATCTAATCTGACCTTCCATAACAATTTTGGCCACATACTTTAACCTAGCGCTCCCCAATATTTGACAGCTGTCCTAGTCATAACATGCCTTTCTTCAGGAATCTCATTTAGCATAAAAAGTTCAATTACTGCACTCTTTTCTCATATGTTTCCATCATCAAAGCTATGTTTTAATCTTCAAATGCATCATTTATTGCTGTCTTAAGAACAATAACCTTTTTTAAAATAGGATGTTAGTTGAGTGTGACCTATCAGCACTTCTGAGTTACTGCCTTTTCTCTTTTTGAAACTGCTCTCAGGTTGTATCAGGAGGAGTTGCAAGTAATCAGTATATCCGAAAAGGTCTCCAGACTTTGGCAGATGCCAATGATTTTGCCTTTCTGTGTCCTCCTCCCAGGCTGTGCACCGATAACGGTGTTATGATTGCATGGTAAGAATTCTCTTGGTGTGTACTTACTTCTATACTGTTCTTTAAAAGCTGACATCAGAGTCAGGAACTTCTGTTTACGGTGACTGAAGCCTGTACATGTGTTCAGATGGTTGTGATGTGCATTTTTACCTAATTGCTTTCTTGCTCAGGAATGGCATTGAGAGGTTACGTGCAGGACTTGGTGTTTTACACAATACCCATGGCCTCCGCTACGAGCCAAAGTGAGTGACTCGGTTCCTCCACGGTCAGTTTCTTCATTTACTCACTGTTGTCAGTCAAAGTGAAAGGAGCTGTACATGAAGAGCAGCAGAAGCTGATGAGGAGTGTCTTTGCAGTGCACACAAGCCTTAAAAGTTACCAGCACTTCCTTTTCAATTTAGTTGCAAAATACCAATGACTGTTTCTGGCATTTATGTTTGTTTTAGCTCAGAAACTTAAATGAGTACATATCACAACAGTTCTGTGTATTTTCCTGCTGCTGCTAAGGTATGGGAAAACTGGAGGAGGTTAAGATGTAACACACTCCTCCTGGCTTTTCAGTCACTATAGACATAAATCAAAATGCTCCAAGTCAAACTGTGTATTCATAAATGAGCAATCAATTAAAAAGAATTTGATATATAACAACTGATAATACTTGGGGGTTTTAAGTGATAATATTGATTTTTATAAGGACTCATTAGATAAGACTTGTTTTATAGATTGCAGTAGATACTAAGATGAAGGCCAAACAAAATTATAGTATTTCAGAAGTACCAGCTGATCTAAAACTTGACATTTTTTTCAGGTTTTTCCCCTTTCTGTTTCCAGGAAAACAGACTTGGAAGGTCTCAGGACAAAAAAAAAAAAAAGTGTTTTATAAATTTCACATGAAAAATTACACAATACTCTTATTCAAAAATACCTTGCTTTATGTGCCTCAGTGAATAAAATACTGAGTTCTGTTTGCTGTAGACTACACGTTCTTTAAGGTAGATCTTAAGAAAGAGATACCTGTGAATCTCTAGTATGTTGCATTCATCAGTAAGATGTAAAATGAACCATCAAATAAAATCGAGTCCAAATTTTAAAAGTCCCCAAAAGGCAGCTTTGACATCACAGCTGTGTTTCCTGAGTTTGGAATGGCTACAACTGCAAACATTTCCTCAGTCGAAGTTTCTAGGTGTGGCTTCAGACAGACCATTTGAATGGTCAGTCTCACAGTGCAGGGAATCTGCAGAAATCCTGGGATTCCCATGCTTACTGTAAAAACAGGTCTGCGTGGTACAGCAGTAATGTTCTTTTTCACAAACACGTTTTATTTTTTAGAGCTCCCCTTGGAATTGATATTTCAAAAAGAGTTGAAGAAGACTCCATCAAGGTCCCAAAACTAAAAAAGAAGATACGATGGTTGGCATCTTAAAAAGTAACTTAAAGTAAATGTAACTATAAGTTGCTCAATAAAGGCTGTTTCAGTGCTGTTACATTTACTGGCAGTGCTTGGTTTACAAGTGTTGAAAATCAGCTGTCAGAGAAATAAGTGCTCTGTGGTATCACCAAAAGGATTCCAGTTACTGTTAGAGTTCCATATTGGAACAATAAAAATAATTAAAAGTGCACTTTTTAATAACTATAAGCTTACACAAATGAAAACATAAAATTGTTTACAGTTTATGCCATATTATAAATATGTAAACCTTATTATACCATATTATAATGTAACAATATATGATATTCCTTGAAGATTATACTGGTCCTGCTCTGGCAGGGGGGTTGGACCCGATGATCTCTGGAGCTCCCTTCCAACCCCTGACATCCTGTGGGATACTTTACATGTTAAAAAATTCATACCTTCCACCACTGAGAAGTCACAGAAAGCAAACACGAGAGCACAGACTTTCAAGAACATCTCCATGTGTTAACTGTGCCAGTGCAATTCCTTTTCCACTGTACCTAATTTTCTACTCACGGTTTGAGAAGCTTGTTCATACACAACATCAAAATTTTGGTGTACAGGGCTAGTGCCTTTTGATTTTCTCCTTTTTTTCTAAATAGCTCAGTAAAGTTAATTGTAGTTAACTTTAAAAGCTTTTAAAGGCTTTTAAAGTTAAGATGCACGTTCTGAGGTTTTCTGTCAATAATGGGTTACTTGACCTTGCCTTTTGATAACAACACATTTTACATTATTATTCATTGCAGTGGTTATTCCTGGACTAAAAACTTTGTGTTAAGGACCTTTCCAGTAAGAGCTTTCTAATTCATAATACATACATTTTAAACTGCTTTCATTTAAATATGAACAAGTAATTGGGCTTTGTGGGACAGTTACACACAAACAAGTTGCCTGTTTTTAATTTTTTACATTATTTTTTAACTTGAGGGCAAGATGTAACAAATTAGCAAGATGCATGCATTATTTTTTCTCCAATAATTTTTGGAATAAGGTTAAGATCCTTTATTGACCAGAAAGCATTGGAAGAATACAAAGTATTTACATTTTGTTTCATCTGATTTCAACATAGGTGAAAGACTGGAATTTATGAGACCATCAGTAAGCAAACCCTTTTGTCTTCCATATTACACCTCATCTCTCAGTTAGCCCAGTTTTTAGTGCTGGGAATCAACAAGCCAGTCAGGTTTATTTCTCAGAAGTCTCTCCCTGCTTCCAAACTTTCTGAACATTGAGGAGGAAGAAATCCCTAAATAGTTGTTTTGTGATGCAGTAAATGCTGTTAAAATCCAATACAGGTTTCCCATCAGGGACCCAGCCTCATCAACTGGAAGCAGGTTCCAGTGTGTCCCAAGCCTCCCAAAGCAACTGTTGTTGGGACCAGAGAGCTTGATACTAATTCCACAGAAACATTTTGTGTGATACTACAAATAACAGTTAACAGATCACTACAATGTTTACCTCACCTTAAGTAGGTGTTTGAGAATTTACAATGCAAAATTTTATTTTTTTTTTTTAACTTGGAAAAATACTTAAAGCCCTTCCAAAATGTGGGAACAATACCACAGGTAATTATATTTAAGGCTTTTGAACTATTCCAGTGATGTCTTAACAAGGAATTAAAGGCACTATCATGAGAATTCCCTGGCCTCTCTCAATAAATCAAATAAAAGAGACCACACCAGTGGCTGAAAATCTGTGCTCAGTGAATAGTTACTGATGGCCTTTTGATGAACTGTGATTACAGGGCACACAGGGTCTTGAGAGATTTGCTTCATGGTCTCAATTCTATACATTGTTTTTTGATTTGTGGCTGGAAAGTTAAACCACAAAAAGAACTATTGAAATTGCAGCTTACAATCATTTTGAAAGCAGCTGTGAACACTTCTGAAAACCTACTTGCAGACATGATGATCTTTGGGTCTTTTAAAAAAGAAAATCAACAAAGTAAACCCAGACTAGTACACTGAAAGACGGGCAGATACAAAACAGCAGCTAGGTAGAATGGGGTAGATTTGTAGGACTGAAATGGATTCAAATCTAGTATGAATAACACAGTGCTAAGAGAGGCATATATTTGGTCTTTATTATAGGTGTAACACATTAAGAGTCGAGAAATACAGGGTTGGGTTTCTTCTGCTGCAGTTAGAGGCTGACTAAAACAATGGAGATATACTGAAGAACTCTCAGTCTATCAAGCTGTGTTGCAAGACCACTGTTCAGTTGTTCTCTCTTACATGAAGGATTAAAGTATTTACCTTAATTTGCAGAAAAGGCTTAAAAATTCTTAGAAAAAGCTTTGTATTTTAAAGGAAGGGAAGTAATGGAGCATGTTACCTACTGAAAGATTCCTCAATCACTGCATTGTTACTATTAAAGTAGCTGTTAGAATATGCCTCAAACACTTCATTCTTCACTCAGAACAAGGTTATAAACTGGAGCACCTCTGGAGATCCCTTGCAGCCCTACACAGCTATAATATATACAATATACATGCCTTGTCCTCACTCCTTATTAACCTCCTGGATATTATTAAAACCCACAGAATGTAATAATTTTGTATCACGTTGGGAGTAATTTTGTTTTTAAAACATATTCAGTACCCATGACTGTCACACAACTGGTAAGATATTAAGTCTAAAAATAATCTGCACTTTCTATTTTCATGAATTATGTTTGAATATAGTGAATAAGTTTTAGAGTAGTTAGTACCATTGAAAACATTTACTTGGAATTTAATGTCTCTATAGCAAGATGAGCAGTTTTCTTCCATGAAATAACACCACTGCCTCCTATAGGACATTTTAAAGTTTTACAATGCTCAAGTAAGGCAAGAAACAAACCCTCCAACCAGGCAAAGAATTCAAACCCTGGTTTTACAGTGCTTTTGTAGGCATATTTTTACACTAATGTGACGCATCAAAAAAATCAAGTTCTTATTTTGCTGAATGTTTTTAATTTGTTTCTGCAGAACTTTCATTATTTCCAGAAAAAGCAGCTGCTTTATACAAAATAAACAGTTGCACAATATTTAGACAGCAACCCTGTATGTTGCCAGCAACTGTACTACATGTACAGACCTTTAACTAGTATTTGATAGTGTCATTTAATATTTTTTAAATCCACCTAGAATCAAAATACGTTTTATTAAGCTACAAAAGTTTTTCTTCCTCTCAAAGCGCTATAGTACACTCATCAATTTCAGTTAAGTAAAAGCAAATCTGAAATTAGGAGGAGTTGTATTATTTTCAAGACCATACTATGGTGTCTATATTACTGTGCATATTCCTTACCTCTTACCACCAAATCCCATCACAGGAGTGGGGTAATGTTCTCTTCCTGGCACATCCATGTCAAACAGCTGAGCCCTACGGCCTGATGCACGACAGGCAGCCTGTGAGAGAAGTTACTAAATCAGCTGTAAGGATGGTTTACTTCAATACCTAGCTGCTTACATCAGTAGAATGACCAAGAGAATGGCAGCTTCACAAGCCTTACATGGAAACTGAAGTACAGTTTCCATTTAATTTCATGTTTAAAACTGCTTTGCCTCTTTATGGAGGTCATTTGCGTATGTTGTGGCAAATGAAACCCTTCTCTAACGAGCAGAGTCCCTCAGGGAATAGTTTACACCTTCTCTGGGGAATCTGTTTTGATCATTTTTCAGACTCTTCTTGTGTCAAGTACAATATTCTCTCATGCTTTATTAGCTGTAAAGACATACACGTGCATGCATTACAAGACAGACAGCAAACTAGAATCACTATACTTTTTCAGAAGTAGCAAAAGGACAACAACTTACAACACTGAAGTTATTTTAGTATTTACTATATAAAATATATTATCATTTAAACAAAAAAAATCTACAAGATATCTGCAAGGTATAAAAATATCAATCGTCTCAAATATGAATTTAAAAAATAAGTAAATTTACTTTTTTCTTACTAGAATATGGCTGAAGACATTTACTTAAATATGGGATTCCCATCTTTTTAACCTACAGTAAAAATGCTGGAGTTCATTAACATGAGGTTCTCTATATTCCTACAGATAACTATGATTTTTTCCATTTTTTTTTTCCAGTTGATCTTACATTAGTGAACTTATTTATTAGCATCAAATTTAAATGTTTTCATGTAGCTCAACTTGTGTAGTGCCAAGTATTAATTTAAATAGCATATTATCAGCACAATGATTAAAAGACACGTAAAATGATCTGTGGTTTTTTTGAGTAATAATCCCAGCTTTTAGGAATGTCATCTATAAACTACAAGCAGTATTAATTTGGGGTCTTTTTTTGTTGTTGTTGTTGTTTTTTTTTGTTTTGGTTTGGGGGTTTTTTTGGTTTTTTTTTAATAGGCATGTTTTTGTACTCGCCTCCTGAACAAAACCTCAAAAAATATTTCTGTTTGGGTTTTCCCATCAGTATCAATGTTCATTTCAGAGCACCCAAGCTCAAAGAACCTGAAAGGACTCTCTGGGTGTGTATGCCCCAAGCTTCTGCCATGTAATCAACACTGATAAAAATTTGTCCAATTTCTGCATCAATGGAAGCTGGAGGAAGCTGACAAGAAGTGTTGTGATGATAATTTGTATCTGAACAGATGGAAGGTTTAAACAGCAATTTTCAACCTTCAATTCTCTCAAAATCTGATGGACTTCTTAGCAATACAAGGGCATATTGGAATCCATTAGGGGTACCAAAGTTGTCCTCTGGGTACATAAAATTTTTTAGCTGCCCCAGCAGTCCACTGGGAGTCTCCACAGAGCACTGTGTCATCTTCTGAAGCCAACCAACTAGAGGACGTAGTAGGAAGTAATTCTTGCTACTTACTTTTGTCAGACTTCACAAGCAAGGCACTAGTATTTTTATGTGCTACTAGGTTTTATGTGCTAAGCAGGTTGCCTTGTCAACTTATTCAGCTCTAGGGAATGCTTTTATCAGGCCTGAGCCCTCTTCAAGAATATTCTCCAGTTTTTAAAATACAACACTCAGAGGCTAACAGAAAAAGAGAAAGAATATTACTTAATCAAGGACTGCACTAGTATTTGCAAGAAAACAATGAAGCTCTTAATGACGAGATTGAAAGACAGTAACATTCCTGTAGGTTGTCCTAAAATATAGAATGTGATTTCAATGCAGCCAGTATTTTAAAAAGTCCCCTGCCCCCCAGGAGGCAAACATTTGGTCATGAAACAGTAAATAGTAACAAATGTATCATAAATAATAACTATAAATTAATTTCTTATGAATAACTGGACAAATGGAAGTTTGCCACCACAAAATTATATGGTTTCTTTCTACTACCTAAAACTACACAGAAGCCTTCCCAAATTATTCCTTATGTTTCTCTAAATATTAGAGGCCTCTTAATTTGGAAAAGAAACTATTTGTCTAAGTACAAAAAGCACAACTTTTTTTTTTTCCCTTAGGGTCCTAGGTGACATGTAACTTGTTGGAATATTGCAACACCACAACAGAGATAACAAATAACCAACAATAGTTTCATTTCATCAACCTAATGTTCCTCTTGGTCCAGTCTTCCCAAGGACTCTTGCAAACATCCCAGGGTAAAGTACTAGGGAGTCAATTTTCCTCAGAGCATCAGTAATAAATCTGTCAGTGCTTTGAAGCAGTTTGAAACTAAAATTTTTGTAATAAATATTTACAGATAAATTATTTTTGACAAATTATTTCAAAAATCTACTCACACTTTTTAGGACTAGATATATAATGCTTTGTATGGAAGGTTTTTTTTCCCCTGTTATGATTTTTCCTTTCTCAGTTTTGGAAAGATAAAACTTAGAACAGTAAGCTAGCATGGTTAGTACTAAGCTCCAACCTTTCAAATATCACCACACAGCACGTATCCAGATTTCCTCACATTACCTTTGCAATCCTTCCATACACAATTCCAGAACCAAGCTAACTTAAGCTTCTCTTCAGACAAAGTCCCTTGATATTTCTGTTTCAACCCCGTGATGGCATCCCCATACTCAACCCATTTAAAAAAATAAAGGGAGACCTTTTCTGTTTTGTTTAAAAGGGATATTCCTGGAAATATACAATGGATGCTTTAAAACTTTAGAAGTAGCAGAGCTAAAGCTACAAAGAACAGCCTGAAGGGAGATTCCCAGTTTCTCTGGGAGCAGAGGGTGTGGCAGGCTGGGGACCACCAACCAACCCAGCCCTGCAGAACTGGCCAAGGACTGAAAGGCTGCACAGGATAGCTATAAAACACCTGGGGGGGGGCCTGTGTGTGGTGTGTGAGGAGCATCTGTTTCTCAAGTGATGAAAAGGCAAACATGATGCTTGGAGGGCAGATCTCCAAGAGGCAACAAAGCCCAAGTCCCTCAGCTCTTTCTGGCTCTGGCACCCCAGGCTAGCTCCTCATCATGCTCTCCCTTCTGAAACCATAACCTGAACCCCCTTCTGATGCCAAGCTGCAAGGCCAGCAGGGAAAATCTGTTGCACTGAATTCAATAGGGGTGACAGAGTGGACACATTCAACATGCTTTCTGCAACACAGACATCAGTTAGGTGGGTGGGAAGGCCAACCTCTGGCTGTCCCCTCTTCCCCAGAGCCCAGCACTCTGCTCTCCCCCGAGGAAGCCTTCATAGCAAGTCTCTACTACAAGTACACATCTACATTCATCACTGATGATTAATAATGCCCACGTGTGTAAAAAAAACCAGACCAAACATTCTAAGAGAACTCCAAAGATTTACTGAATTTGCATCTAGAATAAATGCAACATCTCAAGACATAGCTTTATAATTAATCTACTGAAAGTAACTTCAGTCTGCTGCACGTGTCAGATGCTTTTTCACTGTTGCTCTCTAGTTTGGCGATCCGAGATCCAAACTGTAAAGCCTTTTTTGGCAAAATGGTTGAAGCTGTAAGGCCAAGCTCCGTGGCTGCAAGGCGCAGAATCAATTTCTCACCAATTCCCCGAGGTAAAGTCAAGTCAGCTTTTTCAGAGATGGGCACAGAATTGAGGAAAGAGACAACATCTTCATCAAGAAAAGGAAACCTGAAGAAGAGATACACATGGTGAAAGACTCTTTAAAATCTTCATGCAAATAGTGTTGGTTTTCCCCTTTACCACATGCAAAGACTTCAGAGTCTGTGTCAATTCCTAACTATAGCTGTATATTAAATGTTACTGCTCAGTACTGAGGGGCAAATCTCCAAAGCAGGTCTTGGAGAAAGAAAACAGAATACATCATATTTAAACTCAGAAGCCTGCAAGTTTTCAAAAGTCACAGAGAAAAAAAAAAAGTAAGAACAAGCATCAGAAATGTTGGGTTGATAAAAAAAATATGAAGAAAATCAGGAAATAGAATGGAAAAGCAAGACAAGTAACACTTCTTAAGATAACTTTTAAGTATTTAAAAATACTGTATGAAGCTACATTTAACTTTGAAGCAAAACATTTACAAATTCTCACAACCTTCATACCCATGAGCATGATTAGCAGCATTTCCCAAACACCACTGCAGTTTTTCTTTGCTAAACTGAAAACATGCAACTAAGAATAGATTTGGGAAAACACTGGCACAAAGATCACATGAAAAGACCTTTCACTCATCTGAGTGGCTTCTGCTACTGGACAACACCTAAGGAACTCTTTGCAAGTTGTAGTGGCGTGGAGGAAGTAAACGCATAAAATGATTCTTTAGCCGCTCTGATTTAACAACCAGGAAACGCAGTGGATATTGATCAGTCCTTTACTGCATGGACAGGAGTATGTGGCTTTTATGTTACATTGACATTCTCCAAAGTCACTCCTCAAATGACCATGCCTATTTCAACGTCTGTTGCTGCTTCCTAAAACATCCAGATGGAAGTCCAACATTCAAATTGCTAAATTTCCTTAAGGAACTCTCCCACAGTACTACAGAATGCTATTTGAAAACCAAAACCAAGCCCCTCCACAACACAGTACACACCTAATGCAACTACAATAGAACTTGGAGACAATAAAACACACAGAAGTTTCAATTAAAGTTTCTGTTGGGAGTGTTAAAAGCAGAATCTAACTGGCAAGACCAGTTTTGCTGCATGTTAGAACAACAATACCTGGCTTCTTTTCCATGATCACCGATGACCCTGTCATCTCTGCCGAGGTTCCTAGAGGCAATGCGATCCAGCTCCAGCTCCAGCGCTCCATTCACACCCTCCAAGCCATGCTCTCTGAAGCAAACACGATGTCGAGAATACCCAGCAAGCTGCTCATCTGCTCCAATTCCTGTAAGCACAACCTGTAAGAAAACAGAATTAAAGACATCTTTCTTAGTATCTCTGCAAGCTAATAATATATAACTGATCTTAAATGTTTAGCTGCACTTCAAGGATGACAGCTTTAACGCGCGCTTTCTAAACACACTACCTGTCACGGTGGGATGGGCCCTATGCATTTAGAGCTTGAAACAGTTCCAAATAAAGTCAATGGAAACCTGAAATAGGATCACAGTCAGACCTAAAACTACACAGAAACATTTCTACTGATGCAAGGAGAAAACCAACAAAATAACATTGTATGCATTACAAATACACCAGGATCTTTGAAGAATATCTTTGTTAGTTTCTCTTACAATAAACAGCATTTGCTAAACACCAGCCTTTATCAAAAGAATTTTTGCCAAAGACTATGTTGTATGTTCTAAAGAGTTATCTGAATGTACACTCAGGTTACTGTTAATTTACCAGCTACTGGGTAAGGAACAACAGCATTACACACAATAGAAATGTCTCATATTTTTCTGCCTACTCAATAAGCACATAAAATGTTATCAAGAGAAAAATCAGTACTAAATCTGGTCCACTACCATGCCTTCAACAGCAATTCATTATACAAGTGCAAGTCTCTCAACATAAACAGCCAGGTGTGTTTTACTGATCTGCCATCAGCTAGTAGTCAGCTATCTTTTTACCTGTGCACACTAGTAACTGACTGGTAGGAAAATGACACTTTTGCTTTATGTTTTAACAACTCATGATCCATTTCAACATATTCTGATCTCAGATGAATTTGTGTGCATATCTGAAATGCACATTCTGTAGATAAGTCAGCTAAATCAACCGTGTTCTACAGTAGTAGGTTTTAAGCAATTTAAAACCTGCTTGCTTGTTGGGGGTTTTGTTGTTGGCTTTTTGTGGTTTTAGGATCTAGCAATCAACAGAAAAGTAATAGGACCCTCAAAAAGCAAAGGCAGCAAGGGACTGCAAGCTCCTGCAATGAAACAGTTTATTCTACCCTACACAAAACAGGGAAAATGGGAAGTGAGAGATAAGAATCAAATTCCCAAGAAAATAATTTAGTTACTAAAAAGATTTTACTTAATACTACATACATGAAAGTAAGTTACAAAAAGGAAATTATTACTTTTTGTAGCCCTGCCATTCAGTCAGACTCTAATCACAAAAAAATTCCAAGTAGTCACCTTTTCTGCCATTTGCTACTTTGTTACATAAAAAGCAGGCCCAAAGAAGAAGCCAGTAATTTTACAAGTGCTGGGATGGTAGCACAACACACTATTACTTCATAATTCATTAACACTTAACTGTAAATTTGTAAATGTATTCAGTTTGGACCCAATAGCTGTTACCCACCACCAGAGCTGAAACACCGTAAGTTACACAATAAGATGGTTATTTTTTCCTTAGTCATATTGTTGCTTATTTAAATCAGTGAAAAGCCATACACTTTACATGACAAAACAACTGAATGCAGCTCTTAATTCCAGAATTACAGAAAGATTGTAATTAGAGAACTATTCTACATTCTGCCTCTGAATTTTGAAAGCCTTATGAATATTAAAGACCCTTGCTGATTTCTGAAACAACCAAGCATTTTACATTCACAGGTCAAGCCTAAGGCAGAAAACAAGCAAGAAACCCAGTACCTTTGCAGGGCTTTTATATGGTTTCAGTTCTCCTTGGTTACTAATAAAACCCTCCCCTCTGGATGCAAACCAAATGGCACAGCCAATGCTGTCGTCCAAGACTGTATCCAGTGGATAAATTAGGTGATGAATGCATCGGTGCCTCATTGTTTTCAGTTCTTCTAGTGTAACATTAATCTCCACAAAGTTCCAGCTTCTTGAAGGGTTAATGGCTTCCAATTCTTTCAGTCCTGCCCTACCAGTGATTCTGTCAGGAACATCAAAGCAAGATAAATGAGCACCAGTTTTAGCATCAAGATCTTGGCAACTTTCTTGAGGACAAAGCAAATCTTCTCTGTTGGTCTGTTTTTTAGTGGTACCTTTTTGCTTGGCTTTTTCTTTTACCATGAAAGCTACATTGAGAAGATCAATTGGTTCCCCTAAAGGCACATGTTTATCAGCAAGAGCTGCAATAACCATGGAATCAATGCCACCAGAGAAGAGCACTGCAACGTGTGCTTCCCTACTAGACGCTCTTGCAACTTCTCTTGTTTTCTGTCCTTCACCTCTGAAGAGAGATAAAACCCGTCTCTTCACTGCTTCGTTTAAAACATCCGTAAACTGACAGACTAATTTTTTCCTGTGTTCCTCTGCAAGGAATCCTTGAAGGGTTTCTACTGAAACCATATGGGTAATGTTGCTAACATTACTGCCTAGACATCCACCTGAAGCTTCATTAATTGTTTTATTTAAGGGAACAACTGGTGCTCTGAGACATAGCTTTGATTCATTCAGCACAAGAGGTATGTGGTTCAGCAAGTCTTTTGAAACTCGGTCCAGAGCATCAATGAATATTTCTTCTACTGGTTTCTCTGTGCAGCTGTACTTCCATGGGAACAATGTTAAAGAAAAAGACTTAGTTGTTGCACAAGCTTTGAGGTCAATTTTGAAAATTCCACATGCTGGGACTTCTTGCCATTGGTCACTTGATTCAGAATAAACACTGACAGATGTGAGACAGAAAGCACCATCAACCTCATTACCACATTGCCAGAGCAAACTACGACGACCAAAATAATCTCTACCAAACCATAAACTGTGTCTGGATGCTTGATAATAAATAAAAGACCACGGCCCCCGAAGCGAGGAAAAGAGTGACAGAATGTCTGCTTCACTCCTGCACGATGTGAGATGATGAAACATCACTGCAGTGTCATTCTCTGCATCTCCTACGTGCACTCCACCGAAAATTTCTCCATTCCAAAGAAAAATATTGTTGTGGGCATCTTCCAGAGGCTGAGGAGTCACTGGTCCCCTCAGGCGAAGCACATGGCCAGAAAACAGACACTCACAAGGGAGGTCAGGTGCAGTTTTTACCAGCTGTTGACTGCTGTCTGGTCCTCTTCTCCCAAGACGGCGGAGTACGTCTTCGCCCAGGGAACTACGGATGGTGTGCTGGCTGGAGAGGGTCACCACACAGCAGATACCACACATGGCCAACGCAGCGCCAGGGGGACTATTTCTTGTCTTTAGTCTTCTCTGAATTTTCCATCTCCTGCTGTGCCTTCTTTAATTCATCTAACGTATCTGTGTAGAAGGAAAATACACAATTAGTTTCATAAATTGGTAAGTTTGAGTACAGAAGTTTAAGACAAATTAGTAACTCAAAACACTTGTTTAATTAAAGAGATAAACATGAAATGCTAAGTAACAAAAGCACTATGTTTGTGCTACATCAATACTGTAGCTTATTCCTCTTTAATTATACAAATATCACTATTTTTTCTTTCTCTCAAAGAAAGCCAAACTACAAATACAAGAATTAGGGAAACAGCCAACTACTGTCTGTGTAAATCATACTGATTTACACACTTGTAATAATAAAAGGGAACTGTCGGTGAAAATGTCAACACTATTAATTCAGGTCAGAGGAAAAAAAAGTAGCGATTGTTCATTCCAGAAGATAAATTTATACTTCTAAATTTACATATTTCTAATGTTTGTTCAACTCTACCATCCATTCTCCAGTCTTCAAAATTCCACAGATCCATTCTTTCAACTACCTAAATATTTCTAGCTTAACCTCCAGTTTAACTTGTCATTAGTTTCTTCCTACTCACTCCATGCAATTTTTGGACTTTTTTTTTTTAAGGGCCAAAGTACTATTCAGCTTCCCGAGGGGCACTGAGAACAGAGACTCCTTGGTGGGGCAGATGTTCTCCCTCTCCCTGCACCTTCAGCACTTGCTCTTTTATCACATCTGTATGTGAAATGGAAATATTTCCACATTTATCCAACCCAGATAAACAAGCATGTGTCTACGTTGTATTTGAGATACAGTTGACAGTTTTTCATTTTAATATACCTTTGAAATAATTAACAGCTTTACATACAGCTTTTAAGCAGTTAATTATTTGATGAACTTTTATACTGCAAAACTTACTTTTGCATTGAGACAGTGTTTCTGTTCTGTCTGCAAGGAAGAATATATTGCTGTTGGGTTGCTGCCTATAAACTTTCTGTAAAACAAAAAATGACAGTCTTCTGATCAACTCAAATATCTTAATGAAATAAGTCAGACGAAACACACAGAAAAAAACCCAACAAAGTACTGCATTACATTGCACAAATGTCCATAATCAAATCATGCAGTGGACTAATTATTCTAACAGCACACCATCTCAGTCTTAAAACAAATTAAAGAGAGCTTGCTCTGATTTTGTTTACCCTCCTGTCTTTACACTTATTTTTCTGAGGCTAAAATTGAATAGTCAAAAGCAAATTTGTAAATACTTACCCGGTTCTTCTTCAAATTAGAAAGCTCATCAACTACAATCTTCTGCTCTTTAATCTGAAAGGAAGAAGATTGTATTTTTTCCCCCCAGATAAAAACATGTGCATAACTAAAAAAAATCAATCAAATAAATTTAGAAAAGAAAATTTAGCATAATACCCACAATACACTTTATCATCACAGGTACTCTCCAGATTGAGAGGGAAACCAGTAAACCCTCAAACTCTTAAAACTGTATGAAGGGCAACACAGACTTTTCTATTGCTCTGAAGTTTAGCACCAACTTCCCTGGTGGGATTCACACTGGTAGGTGGCAATTATTCCCACTTTTACAATGACAGATGTGAATGCTAAAGAGCAATCCAGATGACCATCATAAAAGCCAAAACCCAAGAAAACCCATCCAGCAAGCACTTCATGCTTTTTCTTAGAAACAACCTGCTATTCTTTGTGCCTCATGGAACTGGTGGAACAATAGGAAGCTGGCAGAGAGCTGGGTAAGGTGAAGGTAACATGACGTACAGAAAAGACACCTTTTCCAGCAGCTACGGCAGCATCTTGTATTTACAACCCCAACAGACACAACAGCAGTGGCGTCTTCTGCTACAGATTAAAGCAGCCCCTGAAGCTTAACAGAAATGACAACCTGCAACACCGTCATGTCGCAGCTTGACAGCTTCCCAGACAAGCAAAGATACCGCTGACTTTACACAACACGGCCCTAGGGAAAGGAAGTTATCTGGAGGGAAAGTATTTCCACAGGACTTGACAGATTTCAGACTAACGACAGCTACCGGCAGCACGGAAGGCAGAGCAGATGTACCGAGTGCCAGCGCGGGGCTGAAATCCCGTGGGACGTTCGCAGCAGCCGCA